TATTAAATGTATAATATATTCAGTTTAGTTTACTTGTATAATCATATGTATTTCAAAATAAATGGAAAACAATGGTAATATGATATCTGCATCATTTCACTGAATTCTGTATAAACAGGTGTTATGAAAACTGTTCAGAAGCTGATTACCCTTCTACTAAAATGCCATTTGATTTGATTTAGGAGAAATACTCAACAAAGTGAAATCTCTCTCAGTCAGCAGGTTTATTTTAAATAAAGAATATATTTAGCTATTTAGCTGAATATAGTTTGTACTGCACACACATACCAGAAGGCCGGAAAATGAGCTTTCCAGAATCCTGTGGATCAGCCAGGAGGTGCTTGGCCTCATGCCGGAGTAGGAAAACTGAAATGTTTGGCTGTGTACTGATGGCACAAGATGATTAATAGTGTTTCCGTCGTCAGGCTGCATAGTCCTGGACATCCACTCCCTGTTCTCATTATGACTGCTGTCACACAACAACCTTTAGACCCCAGTTTGACCTTTTTCGTCTGACTGGGTCCTCCCTATAATGAGTACGTTTGACTTCATCGTATAATTAGAGGCTGTAATCAATCTGGGAATAATGACGAGATGAAAGAACTTCCTCCAGGAACAGAAGCATAGCACACAATATATATATATGACACAGTTGGCATGCAATCTGGATGTTGGCACAAAGATGGGCTTGTAGCCATTTTAATTAGATGGCATAAAACTATGAAACCCAACTTGCATAAAGGACAGATTTGTATATGTTTATAAACACAGTGTGATACAGTTTTTGTATTTTACAGTCTTGCACTAATAACCCACTGAATTTAAAAATAAAACTTTTTTTTTTTGCTGTTAATATAACCAACAATAGTCATTTTAGATCATGTAGATCATAAAATGTATTACTTAACTGCTTGTTTTTTCCTGTTGTTATTTTAAGTTTTTATTTTACATTTATTCACTGAAACTCTTATTTTTTTTTTAGAGGTAACGTTCCAAAAGCAAATGTTCACAATTGAGATCTTGGAACCAGGGATTTTTTGTCATTTTTGTTTCTTAAACAATTCATCAGTTATCAAAATACTTGCAGATTCATTTTCTGTTGCTCAGCCACATAAACTATGATTTCCTTTTACACAAATGTTTACAGATATAAAGTAGGAGTCTGCAAGTTATTGTAGAAACAAATAGTTTTGGTTTGGCTAACGATACACATTCATCACAGCACATTTTTGCTGAATAGAATGAATTGTGAATGTAGTGTGAGAGCAATCATGAATTCAGTGAATCTATATAGTCAGACAGGCAGTGAGCACAGACCGGTGGAGCACTCAGCTTCGTTAGCATTGTGCCACCTCAGCGCTGACAGGCATGGAGCAACTTTTACTGCCACCCTCATTAGGCACTCAGTCTCTGCCAGCTGAAAACCTCAAACCTCAAACCTGAACCCCACCCCAAATGTCTGACTGTGCCCTAGGACGTCAGTGGGTTTACAGCCACACACACACACACACACACACAAACACACAACACACACACACAACACAACACAACACACCACACAAACACACAGAATGCTGTGGTTGTTGATCTCTTTAGTTCTTCTTCTTTGTCTGGCAACTCCTCCCTGCAACCACATCGTGTGTGCTTTTATGTGTGTTTTAATGTACAGTAGAGGTGGATTGCTGGGATTTAATGAGTACATAGAGATCTATATGTTTACTGCTTTAAAATTAAGCGTGCAATGTAGGGGTGTACATAGAAGTCATGGTTTATGGTCCTGGTTTAGGAGTTACGGTTTGGTGCAAGTTCGGTACAGCGGGGGAAAAACCCAAATAACCTAAATGTGCGTTAGCCTGTTCGATGAGTTTTTATTTACGTATCCTACAACAGTGTAGCAACGCCGACACACCTTGTCTTATTCACAGCTCGGTTCCTGACCAGGAACCTGAATTGAAACTGGTTTAAAGGATTCGGGCGGGTCTTTCATCTCCGGCAATTCATTTGCGCTCGCCATAGTGTGACTGACTCACATGTCAATCGACTGCTAACATCAGCACGTGTTACTAACTGCATATAGCTAAAAGTTTCCATGCAGAACCTGAACTTGTGAACTTTTGTTCTGCATTAAGTGCATCCATCTACAGCACAGCGTGACAGCAACAGATCACAGCTCATACATTTTAGTCTCTTTAAACAAACTCTACTGTACAAGCTGATGATGTGTGTACTTGTATTTATGGGGTTGTATTTATGGGGTTGGGAACAAACATATTTTTACAGTCACATAGTTACATTGCATTCATTTAGCAGAGACTTATGTCCTTTTAATAAGTGGATTCAAACTCAAAACAAAGTTAAAAGAGCAACAGTGAAAAGGCGTTTATTTCTTTTTTAAAGAAATTAGATGGAAGTAATTGCTAACTTGGAGTGTCGAGGTGTAGCCTGAAAAAGTGGGTTTTCAGCCTTGTGAGGACTCTTCTCCCATCTGAGGACAAAACGCTTAACCACCCACATATTTTTGGATTAACTTGGCTTTCGGTTAAAGTCATGCTTTGGGTAAGGTTTGGGTAAGGGCTGCAGTTAGGTATGCAGTGGTTATGGTTTTGGTTTGGGCCTTGTGGGAATTAATGTCAGTCCTCACAAGTCACATAAACAAGCAATTTAAATGCTTGAAGGCAATCAGATTAAGTGACAGTGTATGAGTTAATGATGCAGGGCCATGTTGCAATCAGCTGTGATGACAATTGATGGATAAAATAGTGGGCTGTAAATCATGCCACCCGTATTCAATATGAGACTGTTATCTGAATTGATGGTTCCTAACCTTTGTAGCTTTTGACTCCTTAAATGACACTTGTGACCCCTCACGAAAGGTTAGGACCTGAATGTGGACATTAGTTGTGAGACGTTTTTCTCTACTAACTAAAAACAACTAAAACTAAAATTAAAAACAAACAGAGAAAAGTATAAAAAAAACAACTAAAAAACATAATTGTTACAGATTTTCATACTGTGACTTCTCAGTTTTATCTTGGGATGATTTGGGGGCTTCCAACCCATAGTTTGGAAACCACTGATTCGACTCACCAATCTATAGTATGACATTTTAACCACAGTGGGCCTGATAATGAGATAAATGAGGGGAAGACAGTAAAATGGAGAGAAATAATTGGAATGACTGGTTTTAACGAAGGTCAGCCACCACCCACGCATGGAGATGATGTATGAGATGTATTATTTTTTATTATTGTTTTCATTGAAGAATCACAAATTCTGACAGGGACAGGGTTTTTTGTTTTGTTTTGTCAGATCAAGGATCATGACAGAAAAACAATACAGACTAAATCTACAGTGATGCATCACCACTGGAGGCATGTCCATTGATGCTAACATTATGCAAGACCAAGAGATAAATAGTTCGGCAGGTTGGAAGAATCAATACGTTCCTCTCCACTGTTTTATTGACATAACCTGAAGGGTCATAAGGACCCGGCACAGGAAATAAGAGTCTTAAGGTCTTAAGGTCTCTGCACCTGTATCTAACATTGGTAAACGCTGCTACATGTGCAGTTTTTGACCATTTATATAAGGGTTTTGTTGTAAGAATATTATACTGTTATGCTTTTCAATATACAGTCAGTAGTTTGTGTATGAACATGTAATGTTTTTGTAATGTTGTTAATGTTAATTTTGTCTGACTGTGAGTGTTACAATATATATGCGATTATATACAAGATATTTCATATAGAACTAATTATAATACTAATAATAATGTATTTAACATCTTGAGTGCCAGACATATACTTGTACTTGCAACATTTCTACAGTATAGTATTACTTCATCAAGGGTGAAGCATACTTTATTGTTTTAATTATATGTGACTAAATAACAAATTATATAAAATGTACAAAAATATATGTATATTGTTAGTGTGTATGAAAGTAGCCATAATTATATAAAACACATATAGTAATATAAACTGTTTATAAAGACACTGACAGTCTGTGGAGGCTAAGTAAGAGACAGACAGAGAAGTAATAAATAAAAAAGGATTACACAGAGGGAACTAAGATACTGAAAGACTAAATGCTTAAAGCTTTGAGAGAGACTGGTTATCTGCAGGGGTGGATATCATCAGGCCAAGCTTTGAATGTCGATGCCATATATCACCTCTTGGCCCTGCGCTTCACCGCAGACCTCTGTTAATGTATTCTGGTGAGGAATTTTCCATGACCGCAGCCGTCTTTTTCCTCTTATTCATCATTTAGCTTTTTCAACCTCCCACATACACACCACACATCACATTAGAAGACAACAGTGACTGTTATTTCTGATTAATCATTACTTCATTTATTATACCAGATGACATCATGACTAAATAAATGTTTGTGTAGTTTGCACCATTTACAGGGCTTTTTTTTCTTGAGTTTATTCTCAAAATGTGTCATACTTTCCACTGTATTAAATTTCAATCTCTCAACAGCTTCTCCTGCAGAGTTAGATAATTGATTCATCATTTGATCATATTTCTCTGTTAACACTTTAAAACAGCTTAACTTACAGTTACAGTGTCTATACCTTCTTTTCCCATCTTAAACCAGTTTGTCCCTCTTTCTGTTTTCTTTTATTTCCATCTCTAAGCTTTTCCCCTCTACCATTACCTTATTTGTTTCCACATTGGTTGCAGTGTATTCTCCATCCGCCAGCTTCTGTTATACTTTACTTCCAATTATGGTAATCTACAAAGGTTTAATAGCATTATAATGGTGTTTGCACTTGTCTGTGGAGCCAAACCTGAATGCTTAAAATAAATATTTGCAGAGTCCTAGTGGTTACCCAGGTTCACAGTTTGCAGTTTGTAATAAGAACACAATGTTATACATGAGAACTACACAAAGCATCAAAACATGAATACAGTGACAACAATCAAAATCCTCAACATGCAACTTTATTCTCTATTTGTAATTTAATCCTTTTCTCCTTTTTTATTTGTCCACAGGCTCACTTGCGCTCAGTGGATGTGAAGATCTTGCAGCAGTTGCTGGCCGTCCATGAAGGCATCGAGGCAGTAAAGTGGTTGCTGGAAGAGCGCAGCACACTGACAAGCCGCTGCAGCAGCCTAACCAGCAGCCAGTACAGCCTGGGTGAGGGTCCTGACACCTCCTGGAGAGGCTCCTGGAGCAGCCTGCAGGACCCCAATGACAAGCTAGACAACATCTCAATCGGCAGCTACCTGGACACCCTAGCGGATGACATGGACGAGTACTGCCCCTCCAGCTCGGAGTCAGTCATCTGCTCCACCACACCGCTGGTCTCAGAGGCTACAGCTGGGGGCCGGACAGGGGGAGGCACTGGGGCTACGGTCACGGCAGCTGGAACAGGAGCTGGGGTAGGGGTGAGGTCTGGTACTGGGGCTGGAAGTGGTATTCGGTCTGGGGCAAATGAAAATGGAACTGGGGTTGGAAATGGGATGGAGGTGAAAGGTGGACCAGGGACTGGGGTCACCAGTGCTATCACTGGGACTGGGAGTGCTGGGACTGGAACTGGGAAACCAGCTGTCAGCTCTCAAGCCAAGTCTGATGGCCCCAAGCAAGATGCACCGGTCTGGACCACAGCTGCAGAGACGGGTAAAGGAAGCCCTGTTTCTAAGGGCAACACCCAGACACAAGCTGTTAAGGTTAATGGCGTCCTGGAGAAACCAACCATGCAAACAGGCAGTCCGACTCGCCCCAGCCTCAACGAGAAACTAGGAACCACCCAGAGCCCCAAACTTAAACCGTACAAAAATGGAAAGATCGACTTGGATACTTGCAAAATGAATAGCAAAATGCATCTGGAGTACGACACGCACTGGCGGTGGGTGCAGTCGCAAGAAGATGTGACGTTTTTGTAAGAAGGATAATAACATAGGGGACTAAAGCCACTATTGAACACTCCCTCTGTAACATCAAAGACCAGATCACTGAAGGACAGAAGAAGAGCGAACTGCTGTAGTGAAATGCACATAGTGAAGCTTTCCTTCGACACTGGGTTTGAAAGACAAACAATAACTGTTTTTGTCCTGTTGTTCCCCCCTGTGACTGCACTAACTTTCTATAAAACATTGATGTCAGTATTAAGGTGGATGCACATTACAGGATTTTGACCACATTTAGCCAAACTGGGCTGCCTCAAACAAACTTAGGAAAGTCATTTTTAAAATCCTGTGTCATAGTTTTTCTCAGGGTCTTTCTTGGCATTCCCTGATTTTTCTCTTTTTTTCTGTTTTCTTTTCTAAAGCACAGTGAGACGATCTGCCAGAGAGCTGAAACATGATTTCAGATTGCTTGACATCATTCATCAACCAATGTAATTTAGAGGATTTTAATTAAAGTTTGATCTCATCCAGAAAAATAAACCAAAATTCCTCTGCTTACACTGAATCCATAATTAAAACCCAAGGTCAAAATAAAGACCTCTTAAAGAATATCTGCTCTGGGATATCCTTAATTACTTCATTTGTCCTATGCTAGGCACTCTACAATCATTGACCTTTAACTCCACTACTAACAGCACTGATAGAGCCTATTGTACTGCATTTAGTAGAAGACCAAAGTTTTCCCCTATCAACCTACAAATTAAATTTATTGTATAACCCTGTTGACTTAGACAATATAACTGAACGCTTAATGGTTGGAGACAGTATTAAACATAAGTATCAAACACCTTTTGATAAAATCTGTAAGTGTGTTTCTCCCCGAACTCGTAGCTTACCTGAACAAAAAGTAGAGGATATGAAAATAGAACACTGAGGTTAGTCAAAGTTTCCCTTATTGAGAAATAATGTACCCACTGTTAGCATTTGTGTCTTTGTGGAGCTAATACCCAACCATCTGCAATATTGTATATTCACTGAATCGCAATACAGCTACTCTGTGCATCAGGTACTAGTCGTGACTGATTGTAGGCAAATACTGAATATGGCTAAAATGTTCTCCCTTTTTTTTACCAATGTGGTAACGTGTTAGTTTTTATAAGCAGATGTTGTGCCTGATTGGTGTAAACCTTAACTACATATGCCTGTACTTTCCCTCCTGATACGACTGCACTGTTGTTATGATAATCTGAGTTTTTTGACTGATTTTATTGGTATTATTGTTGTCTCTTCGCCTGGCCTCTGCTTGCGTGTACAAATGGCTAGACCAACAATCTGTGTGCTCTCACCATGTGAGTGTTGACTGGTAAATGTGTTATGTTGGCTGGGTGGATCATTGTGCATGCCCTGTGCTGCAAGCTTTATTGGTTAAATCGTGAGAAATGCGTGGAAGACCTAACACAATCAGAGAAGAAAAGCAATATCTCTTGAAGCCTTTCTACTGGCTTACATAAGCAGCCTCTTTCAGCAAATGAAATCTAATATTATTGTCTGTTCTTCAGGAGTTTCCAAGACTACTGACAGGGAGAGGATGTGTGTGTATGTTTGTGTGTGTGAGAGAGAGAGAGAGAGAGACAGATGCCGACTGGCTGCCTGAGCACAGCTGGCCTGTCAAGGTTTGGATAAGAATAGATGAGTCCCAAAGGTTTTTAAGAGTTTTCAGCTCATTCATCACAGCGGTACTCCATCTCCTACCAGTCTGCAGTTAGTCATGTTGATGCTGCAGGGATAGTGCAACACATTTTACATAATCAGTACAAAAGTATTTATCCTACAGTATACTTTGTGACAAAAAGAAAGCTTCTCGTAAAATGTTCGTCTTACCCTCTGTCCTCCCTTATATGACCTTCTGAAAAAGCCGACATTTGACTCAGTGTTAAGTAACACTGTGCCCTTCGGTACCCCTGTCAAATCACTGCAGGGCTCAAATTCTAAAAATGTCCTTTTAAAGATGGGTATGTTTGAAACTTTTCAAAACTAGTGCTGATATAACGCCTCCTAAAAGTGCGGGTTCTAGTTTTTCATACATTTCATGCACTGTAAGGGCACAGTCACATGCTCGCAAATTCACCTCTTTACTTCACTTGGAGTTTAGTGAACCAATATCAACCAATATCTAAGAAGGACCGTATGTGCTTGCCTCGGCCATAACAAAGATACATTTTTCCAAGTGTATTCGAACCACCAAACTGACAGTTTGCTAAGCCCCAACCTCATTGATGCTACACCTGTCAAGCTTTTTGTTTTTGCATGGCACATATGCAGTTAATAACGGTAACATAGCAGATTTACAACTTTTTTAAACAATGGGTCCTTGTTTTCAGAAAGAGGTAGACAGAACCTTCTCATTTCAAGCCAGAAACCGCTGACTTTGCCATCTAAAATGACAGTATAAACCATACTGTAGCTAGCGATAATCGATGGCCTTGAGGATTAATCAATGGTTTGGCAAACGTAATCTGCTATCAGGTCACATTGGCTAGAGTTGCTAGAGTGTAAACTTCTCCAAATCCCATAAAGTGCTAATGATTGAGTTTGGAATGGTTTAAACACACTGTTTTCCACCTTTACACATATTACTCTGACTACAGCCCTGTTTACACCGCTTAAACACATGGAGAAATCCTTAGCTTGACAGGCTTGTCGTTCAGGAGATGGTTTCAGCAAACTGTCAATCAATGGACGGTGGCTCTTTCACTCTATGTAAAGAGTTACTGTTAACTGCTTGCTTTAATATATAATGCAAATAGTTGTTATGCCATTAACTTGAAGTCAGCCAGTCCAGTCAATCAATTCACTTTCTGCTAGGTCTCCCTGTAAAGAAAATCCTTTATAGGCAGCACTGAGATGTTAAACTCAGCATCTCCATTTGTTTGAGCCACTGAAGTGTTTCCTCTCTCCTACTCCTGCCTTTCTTTTCATCCTACTTTCCACCACCACACTGGTTCGATGGAAATATTCAGTCTGTGCCAACACACACATCATGCACACACAATGCCCTCTCGCCTGAGACAGCACCATAAAGCCAGCACCACAGAAACAGCGACTGTAGGCCAGTCCTGGAGACAGGAAAGGAAAACTGTGCTCAGACTGGACCTTGAACTCTTGGACGAGTTGGAACATAAAAAATCTGTCCCCCTGTTTTTCTTTCCCTCTAAATCTCTTTTAATACAAAAAAAGAGCATCTATCCATCACTGGATACGTATTTCAACCATGGTATATTATCCAGCCACAGTATAGACATGAAGTCATTTAAAACCTCCTTCCTTTTTTAACATATGTGTTGGCTGTAAAGCAATACAGTATGCCAAAGAGACAGCCTGCTCTACTAGTTTGTGGTTTTCTTTCCAAATTACCGAGCCATATGGGGGGAAAAAATACATTTTAGTGCAGGGAACAAACCTGTAAAACACATTACATCAAGCTATAGTGTGTCTCTCTGAATCTATACTGTAGCCCAAGATGTTGTAATGTGTTTTCACTGAGAACATCCAGTTTAAAATTGGAATATGAACATTGTTTTAAACCGCTCACTGGCAGAGATTTAATGGGTGTAGGTGCCAGGAGAAATGGCTTGTGGCCTCATTGTTTTTGAAAGAGGGATAATAACTGCTGTGTGCATGGATAAGAATGGAAGTGTGACTAACTGGCAAGCTTGTGGAAAATACCTTTCAGTCAAAGCTGAAAGCTTCTCTTCACTTTCCAGAATTTTCAGAGGGTATGGATTCAAAAACAACCTGGCAGACTTGCTCCCTAAAATCCTCTTGTTCTATCCTTTTATGATGTCCAGGATTTATCAGATGTCCAGTGCGTGATGTGTTTGCCATGGCTTCAGGTGCCAGGCACCCTCCAGCTATTCTGGGCACTAGACAAACAGCATGATTACATAGATGAGTGGATATCCACACAGTTGCCATGACAATGAGGCCAAGGAGGCTTCAGCTCTAGTGGCTACATAAAACAATGTTGACTGCAGTGCCAGTTGCAATATAGCAGTACTGTTTGAATGATGGCAGGTGAGATGAAGGAGATGATAAGATGACTTATGATGAGTCAGAATACCAAGCATTACAATGATGTTTAACACCTTTATAGGTAATTTGTGATGAATCCTGTTTACATTTTCTTCCTAATAAGGTTGATTAAATTTCATATGTACTGATGGTTTATAGATCAAGAATAATAAAGAAGCAGACAACTTATTAACATTTTTAACTGCAGACTTGATTATTAAATCCCTTTTATTTTATTTTTTTAATATTATTTTTCAGCTTGTTGGTCTTTATTTGGTGGTACAGCGTAGGCAGTGAGCTACCGGGGTGCGCTTAAACCCTTTTTATTAAAGACTTATTAACATTTACAACTGTAGACTTGATGGTTTTTTTAGAGCATCACCAAATACAATGGATAAACACCAACCAATGCAAGCACTTGTAAATGAATGACTTATTAATCATTATAAGGCCACTACTTACAATTTATACATAATTCATTAAGGGTGACTGAGGAAAAGATTTCTTCCAAAATCTATTTAATTTCAGTGATGCTTTCCTGGTTAAATAAATAACTCACATGAATAAATATATAAGTCCAAAGTTAAATAAGACATGTGTAAAACAAATGCTTACCTTTCTTGTCCAGGTGCTCTAGAAAGCTGTACTCCAGATGTCTGCTTCTCAATGACTTGCAACACTGCTTTTAAGCTTTTCTGTGTTTTTACATTAGGAATTTGGTCTTTTCTGTTCCTTCCTAATGTAATAAAATATCAAATTAAAGGGACTGATTAGCAACATTAAAATGGTGAGAGGCAGAAATCATCAGAAGCTACCCAAGGTATCGATTTTGTGTCCTTCTTTTCTCATTCCCCACTACTCTGTTCGCATTAGTACACAGCTCAGGCACTCTCTCTCTTTGAGCTACCTGAAATGCTGTCAGGAGGTATTTGCCTGTAAGTTTTGGACATTTTTGAGAAGCTAAAAAGACTGGTTGTGTCTCCCTAGAGGCAGAATAGAGTGATAAACCACGAGCTGAGAAGTGTAACACACAGCATGCAGTTAAGAGGAAGCTTCCACTCCTCCGGTGTCCTGCTGTTTTCTTCCTTCTTCTTTTACATACACAAATACACACACACACAAGCACAATTTATCCCGGGACTGACGTGGGTCTCTAGGTACCTGACAGCTCCTCAGAGAGAACCATTAAGCATTTCCTTTCCTTGACTCTTATTTATACTTTATCCCTGTGTGTGTGTTTTGTTCACATCCCCACACAACTGCTTAAAGAAATGAAAGTGAATTGAAATAAACCCCGCTGAGGGCACACTGGGCTCTGAAACGGGCCCAAAACTTAACTTGGGCAACACAAAGCTTAGAGGATTGAAAGATAAAAGCCACAAAGACCGACTGCAGTTCACTGGATCAGTCGAATCAATATCTTGCTTGAGTGAGTGAAATTGTTTTTATTTCCATGGTACGATGCATTTTTATTATTTTGTTATGCAATGTGTCCAGAGAAAAATGTTATTTTTTTCTTTGTAAAGTGGAAATGTTCAAAAATAACTAATTATGTTCATTAATGTAGAAAACTATATTATGCAGTATGTAAATTATATGAGCTTATCCAATGATTAAAGATATTTTAAATGTTTTTTCATGTGTTTTTATTACCTTATTAAATAGGGTAGTGGGACATGCAGTTTGACCTCTTGATCCTTTGGATAGACTCTGACACTGTATAAGATATTTCCCTTGAGGAAAAACAAGCAAATAAGACATTTAAAACCATACTGTCCCCACTTCCACTTCCATCAGCTGCTGTTTTTCTCTCCTGACCTCTTAATGTAAACTACTCTGTGTGCTTTCAGTGACCTTTATGTAGATTTCTAATCAATACTTGGACCAGCCCCTTCCTCCACGCTTACAAAGGTTTAATCAATGCAGATCCATTAGCATTCAAAGCACTTACTGGCCATTTTCCAAAAACAACTTCAAAAGTAGTATAATATGCAGTTCGATGAGAATTGAGAAGGAATCAATGTCTTTCTTTGGGTGGTAGCTTAAAGAAGGTATATGGTTGTGTGTTGACTTTGATAGAAAGGGTACATACACTAATACATTATAGTATATACAGTATAACTTTAGCCAGGAGATAACTAAATATTTAACACATGTAAGAGTAAGGCCACTGTTCAGGTTTATGGTTACTAATCGCAAATGCTTCCTTAAAAAGTAGAAGGTCCTAGCATTTACTTTCATAAATTATTTTAATGTTTTTTAAATATTTTTGTCCAGAGACAACAACAACCTACTGTAGAAACATGGTGGTTTAATATGGAAGACTCCATGGAACAATAGACATTAGATCCTTCTAGATGTTACACACTGGACCTACAACAAAAAACACATCATAATTATGATATTTTTATTTGTAAGTTATCCATCTTTTGCATTCACACAATGGGGCATAACACCTCCTGACATGCTCACACCTTCATAAGGTCACAGGCTTTAGCCCCAATGTGGTATTTGATTGTAAAGAGCTTCTTCGATAAGCTGACATCCTCCCATCTGTATATTCAGTGTGTGCTCATGTACAAATTCAGTGTTATCCATGTCCCCAACCTTTCCAGTTACAACTAAGCAGTTTTACTGTTTATCTGCTCTAATGGGGGCAGATAGTATCAGTCTCATGTAATCTACAGCTCCTTTGTCTGTCTGTTGCTACCATATTCTCACTGGGTTGTGTGAAAGGAGGGTGAGGGGATTATAAAGGAGGGGAAGATGGTGGGATTGTGATGCAGTTGTGTTGTTGTTGTTTTTTGCAGATCTGAACATAAGCTGGCCGGTTTAACAGATTGAGGTGATGTTGGCGGGATGTGTGAGTGAGAAGGTGGTGTTTGTGGTAAGAGGATGGGTGTGATGATGCCCTCTGGGTGGGTGAAAGCCAGGACCCTCAGCTGTCAAGGCTAAAATGTGGATTAGTGAGGAATGTAAAGTGTGGTGGCTTAGTCTAAAAAATGATATAAGTGTGTCCACTGTCCTGTGTCCACTTTCATCAATATGACCGACCTCTGGCTGCAAATAATGTTGTTGCTGTCAGCTGTTATTTCAGTGCACCTAACTCCACCCCTCCTCCTTCACAATTCAGTCAGTCCAGAGTGTGATGTGACTCCAGATCCAGTCACTTGAGCTTCTCAACAATCCTGCTCCAGCCTAAAAAATCTTCTAATCCTCACCACCGCTGGTATTTAGACTCTATCTAGGATTCCTACTGCAGTTTCATCACCCTATAAATGTAGTAGTTTCATAAACGTGTTAAGACTGCTCAGCTATTATTATATTAGGCACTCAAAAGCCAACAAATTAATTGAATTAATAAGTCCAGTAAGCCTTGATTTCTTTGTTTCTGTGATTCAAGTATTTATTATTAAGGACTAAACATACAAATGTCAACAGCCTCTATTGATAAAAAAATAATAAGTACAAGCAGCATATAATAGTTAAGTTGGGGGATTCCCATGAAAGTAACAATGTTTAAATAATGAATGTAAAAAGAAACTGACAAACTAGATGAAAGCTTTTATATTTGCTGTTCTGAACACTGCTGTTGAGTTGAGTGAAATGGGAAACATCCATCCACACTGATTGATTGGAAGGTGATCTATAAGGTGCTGTGCAGAAACACTACAGGCATCAGGTCTTAGCACCAATTATACTGACAAACATATACATAACATTTTAAATGTAAAATAAAAAAAATTAATTATTTGGAATTTTGCACATTACCATTTCACTTATGACAAACAAGTCTTCCCTCAACCCAACTAAAGCTGTGCAGACAGGGTGCAGCTCTGTTGAGATGATGAAGTGCTGTGTTTTAATGCTGGTGTCAGTGTCAGCCATTGATTTTCACCGTCCAGGAGACAGTGGTTTTGTCTGGTAATGCACAGCTCTGCTAATTGAAGCAGGCTAAGTGTTTGCGGCTGGTGTTGATGCCTGTGTCAGCAGAGTCTTTTATTTTACAACCAACAACCACAAGAAGCAACCAGACCCCGCTGATGCTAAACAGACTGTAGAGCAGCAAGTTTTAACTCGCAGTCCATCAACTGATTATGCAAATGCCACTGGTTCAACCTGTGTTCTATTCAGAGCCCTGACACGGTATTTTTATTTCCACTTGAGCGTGTTTTTTTCCACAGTGGGTGGCAAGTGCATGGAGTACACGCAAACAATGTGGATAGGCTGTAAAAGCAGAGTGCAACAGTGGGAAGGTCAGGAGGAAGGCTCCCTGCTTCCAAGACTGGGGGGGACCCTGGAGAGACACAGGGGGTTGAAGGAGAAAACTATGGTAATTTGACATTTTGTGAAATCTGCTTATTTGCTTCTTGCTGAGAGCGGAGAAGACTGATATCACTGTAATGTTTGTACAATAAATATGAAGCTAGAGCCAGAAGTCAATTAGATTAGCTTAGCATAAAGACTGAAA